AAAAAAAAAAAAAAAAAAAAAAAAAAAGACACGGCAATATTTTTAAGATCTATTTCAAATACGAATATTCCAGTATTGAGGGGTATCCCTGCTCTACCTAGGAAACCCTCAGGGTTGAGAGCAGTGCCCTCCCCAAGGGCCCAGGGCCTGTGGGGAGGGGCCCCTACCTTCAGGTGCTCCATCTTCTCCTGCTGGCTCAGGAAGCCTTTGTCGCCAGGCCCCGGGGGCACAGAGGGCCGGGGAGGCGGATGCATGAAGTTCTGGGTGACCTGCTCGGAGAGCTTGCAGATGACCTGCTGTTTGGCCTGGTTCTTGTCCATGAGCAGCTGCACGTGCCGCTGCAGCTCCTGCACCTGCTGCTCCTGCAGGCTCGCCGTCTGGGCCAGGCTCTCCCGCTCCTGCTCCAGGGCCTCCAGCCGCCTGCCCAGCTCTGCGATCTGCCGCACTTGGTGCCGCACCAGTTCCAGCCGGTCCTTGTCCTCACCTGCCAGGTACGCGCTGGACGCCCTCTTCTCCTGCTGGGCAGCTTCTAGCGCCTTGTGCAGGATCCTCACCAGCTCCTGGGCGGGGTGAGGGAAGCACTCTGTGAACTCGGGGAAAGCCCACGAGGTGCCAGAGACTCGGCACTGGCTAGCCCTGGTTCTCCCAACAGCCCCGGGCGGAGGCTAGCATCATCCTCTCGGCCACCTCATTTTCTCTCATCTTCTGTTCAAGAAAAGTTTACCCAGACACACGGTTCCCCAGCTAAAGGCTATATACTGTTCTGCTTGAGCGCGATTTGTGAAATTAGGTGGGTGGCTTGTGGGTCTTACCTTTAAAACCCATGTGCTCCCCTGGTCAGGGCGCCCTTCTTTCTGGCTGGGAAACGATGAGAACTAGAGCAGCCACCTCGGGCTCCCGTGCGGAAGGTGTATGTTGAGGACGGCAGTTGCACTACTAGCTCAGAACTGCTCACTTACCTCTGGTTTCTTCCGTGAGAAGATAGGAGAGAAATAAACTTCCAAATTGTTTTAGGCCATAGTGGTCTGAGGCTTCTCTGTTATAGCAGCCGAGCCTGTACCCTGACTAATTAATATATGTCCATTTCAGAAGCAAGAAAACTGATGTCCTGCAGAGTAGAGTGCAGTTTAATCCCACCTAAATCCCAAGCCTGTGCTCAGTCGTCATGAAGGCAGGGGCGGCAACAAAGCGGCACGCCAGCACTGGTCTTCCCTCCTGCTCCCAGACAGACCTTACTCATCAATCTCCATCTTTCTCCCTGTTTAGCCTCGCTGAGGTCAGAATCCTGGATATGGCAGACAAGTGGTCGCTACCAATGGCGCTGGGAAGGCACTAGAGAGGAAACACATGGGTAATCCTCATACTAAAACACACACAGAGGGCCTCATTCGGTCCACTGTACCCGGGCCCTTGGGCCACCAAGCAATGCCTGGAGGGCTGGTGCGAGAAAGCCTGAGAGAGCTCAGAAGCAACAGACCTCTATTTATTCCATGAAGGGGCACTGGACTCTCATGGAAACTCAAGGTCTGCTTGGCTCCCACACTTGCAAGCCCCCAACCTCCCCAGGCCCTGTGCTGCCCCAAAGCAAGGATATGGATTCATTTAAGACCAGTCAAGAATATCAGAAGCCAGGCAGCCCAGTGGCCAGGCCCATGTGAACCTCAGAGTCTGGTAGGCAGGGAGGGGTTTGGGGCCATTGCTATGCTCCATTCTAGTCTCATCTGGAAAAACATGGTTTCCAGAGACAAGTTACCTGTATCCATGCCAAAGCTTTTAACTGGATGAATCAGCTGGATAGGATTATTGCTGCGAATGAGTCCACTTTGGAAGAGAACTGCACCTAACCACAGCTTTATATGAGAAATTAATGGCAAGATCAAATTAGCACGCATCTTGTGAAACCTCAGTACCGTGGACTGTCCCTCTTCTGGTTCTCTCCCTTCCCTCCCTCCATCCAAACTTTATGAAGCCCCACTCGGTGCCAGGCCCTGGGATGGGTGCTGGGGCCTAGAGGGGGAGTCGTCATAGCTCTCACCTTCAAGAACCACTAAGGCTGGTGGGAGCGAAGGCGAACCACTGAAATGCAGTGATTTACTGAAAGAGGGAAGCAAGGGTATTTGTGGGGACACAGAGCAGAGAGCAAGGACTTCCCTGGGATGGAGGTGAGGGAAGACCATTATATCCTACAGAAAGGCAGAACAGTTTAAACTGATTTGTGAAGAATAAGGAGGGCCGGATACGGCCAAGCAGCAAGTAGGAGATGAGGGGTGGAAGGGCTTTCCACACATGCTGAGTCAAGAGCTCGAGTCAAGAGCTCAAGCAAAGGCCCAGAGGAAGGAAAGAGCCTGTGTGGGGCTGTGGGCATCGGTGGGTGTGGCCAGAAGGTGGGTGGGGAGGTGGTTGCAAACCAAACTGGAATGTTTGGAATGAACTAGCTTCTCAGGTTCTGCTGAGAGAGCTCACCATTCCTGTGGTTCCAGGAGAAGCTGACACCATTTTCTGGTTCAGTTGCAATGTGGAGATTACCCTGGGAACTGCCAGGCTAAACAACCAGCAGACACTACTGTTCAGACTTGTCCGAGGCGGGTGTCTTTCTGCCAGCTTTGGGAGAGTCAACTCTGAAGCCCGTTTCATTATATCTAGCTGCCTCCCCATTCCTACATCCAGCCCAAGAGGCCCTCCTCCCATCCCAGACGCCCCACGAGAGAATGAGACAGGGAGAAAGGAACCAGGGAAGGGACGGAGTTGGAGCAGGAAGCACGAGATGAGGAGTGCGAGTGGACCTCGGATTCAGGAAACCTGGAGGTTGGCAGGCCCGGGGGAGCCCACCTGGTCAAGCCGCCTTGCTGTGAGTGCGTGAGGACACTAAAGACCAAGAAGGGAGAAGGAAGAAGACTAAAGGGACTTGGTGGATCCCCCCCCCAGGTGGGAAAACACACCATAAGAGAGGAACCCCAACTCCTGATCTAGGGTCTTCCACTTCTCCATGATGGGAGGTTAATAGATTTTGCACTGAAACACTTCTTCCAATTTCCTTAAAAACAGAAATAACCCATGTTCGTAGCAGCATTATTCACACAGCTCCCAAGAGATGGAACAGCCCACATGCCCACTGATGGTGAGGGGTAAGCAAAATGCCGCATATACAGATGGTGGAATATTACTCTGCCCGAAAAAGGAAGGAAGTTCTGTTACACACTACAACATGGATGAACCTGGGGCCATTATGCCACAAAAATGCACATACACACACACCATACAGAAATACTGAGAACAAAAAGGGAAGCCTGTGATACATCCTCTTCTGCAGCTCTGGGCCCTGTGATATGCTAAGGCACCTCTCCAAGCTGCCAGCATTGAGCAAGACCATTACTGCAACAGTGCAAGGGTTTTCCCTGTATGGACCCACAAATCCCTTATCCTACCCTCAAGGAGGCATATCCAGGTTGTTTCCAATCCCTGCAATTATAAGCAGTGCTTTAGAACCAATTCTCAGAAATAGAAGAGCTGAGCAAATGATACCTTTAATATATACATATACATATATATATTATACTTGATAATATATAATGTATATATATATATACATGTATATATGTATATATACATGTATATATATATACGTATATATATGTACATATATATATGTATATACATACATATATTTGAGAGAGAGGCAGAGAATGGAGAGTAGGAGCTGAGAGGGGGAGAGAGAGAATCCCAAGCAGGCTTTGCACTATCAGCATAGAGCCCAGTGTAGGGCTCAAACTCATGGACCGTGAGATTATGACCTGAGTCGAAATCACGAGTTGGATGCTTAACTGACTGAGCCACCCAGGCACCCTGCTACTTTTAATATTTCTTAATCAAACCAATGTTTGGTCCATTTCCGACTTTTGATAACTGGCCTCAAACTGTCATTCTATCAAAAAAAATTTTTTTTTAATTGCAGTGTAGTTGATTATTTAAATGTTTAAAATTCAACAAATCCTCTTTTAAAAATTAATCCTTTACCTTATTAAATAATGAGTCAATACTTTCATCACTCACTAAATCAAGGTGGATGGGCCTCACATTGCTGGAGATGGGGCACTGGACTGAGAGTCTGGCCCTCCAGCCACTGACCCCTAGGAGGCTGGGCGCCAGCAGGGTGCAGGTAAAGGAGGACTGGTTGCACTCCAGGTCCATGGAGGGGTATCTAATGAGGGTGTTTCAGATAAGTGAACTTCGGCTTTGTCATATGTAAAATGGAGATCGTGATCCCTATGTCTCAGAGAGCCACTTAAAGGATGAAAGAAAAAGGGTGGCAAGTGTCCCTCCCCAAGCGGAAACAGCCAGGCTCCCTCTTGACCCTCCCTCTCCACTGAAATCTTTGAACTCTATATACGGGGAGTGTACACTGAGGTTTCTGGCTGGGGTTCTAAGGAAGTATGTGGTTGCACTTTGCCCCCAACAAGTTTCCTAAACAGATTATCCCGAGGGAGCTAACCTGACCCCAGATAGGGCCCGGGAGGGGTTCATCATTCCCGGCAGTCAACAGATGGCCAACATCACTACAAACAACGGGCTTCCATCTGCCAGAGCGGACAGCCTTCAGGTTGGGTGCAATTTTGTGAACGCTGAGAACCTGAGTCACCCGGCCAAGCAGCCATCTGGTGCTACCTCGGGGAGTCCAAATCTCTTGTGGGGCCAGCACCACGAGGGCCTGGGACAGATAGCTCAATGGGTACTGGAGTGGCCCTATAGTTTAATACGACACCAGATACAAGGACTGCGTTTGGGTTTTCTGAAGAGCACTTCTGGGGCTCATGTCTGATGCTGGGCTATACCTGGAGACCAGGGAGGAGGTAGTTGGGCTGGGATGAGTCCTGGGCCTGGGAGAACAGGCTCTCAGTCTTGGCTCTTCCAGCTGCGTGACCTCAGGCCGGTCACCTATCTTCTCTGAGATCCTTAAGCATGGCATGGTAAAAAGGGCAGAATCCCTAGAAGCAGAGTGTGAAACCTGTCTTGGCTGCTGGGAGGCCCTGGGCATCCGGAACCTCTCAGAACCTCAGTTTTCTCCTCAGGAAAAGGGGGCTGATAACTGTTGTATTAGAGATAATGCATGGAAAGCCTTAGCACAGAGCTGCGGCCACACTTAACACCACTCATGCGTGCTCTTATCTGCTCTTCCTTACCCAAGGACAGGGACCCAGTGTACCTCTGTGCCCTCCAGAGTTTGAGATACAGATTCTTGGAGAATCACTATCGTTATTGGCAATGACCACCTGGGTGGCTGAGCCCGGACAAGACTTGCTTCCCCCTTCCAGCTCCCACGTCCCCCTGCACCCTCAGGCAGAAAGAGAGTACTCCCACTGAAGAGACACAGGAAGGCATCTTGCAGATGTGGGCCCAGGGAAGTCCAGAGATTGCTCCCCCAGCTGCAGAACTGGGCGCAGAGAGTCTCAGATGGACAGGGGCCCTCGGACTGCCATTTCTGTGTGTCTGGGGCACTGCTGGGCGCTCCAAGGTTTTGCGGGCCAAAAATCGAGTTTTTTTCCTTCCTCTCTTTGGTTTTGGTATCTGGGCTGGAGTTAAAAACCCGAATCTGTAGTGCTGGGGTGCCCCCCACCTAATGTGGGATGAAGACTTGACCCTCGCCCATCACCGCCATGCCACTCATTTCTTGGAGGTCGTCATGGGCGCCCATCTGTCTTCACAGAGCCCCGCAGAGGAACGTGGCCTTACACTTCTTGTAAGGCCATTAGGAACCAACAAGGAGGTTGCTGCAATAACAGCTCAAAGCCTCAAAGCCTGCATCTGCTGGGCGGCTGCTGGGTGCTAGGCACTGGGCTTTACAAATCTGGACACAGGCCCCTCCAGTGAGCCCAGCTGTAACTCCACGTACAGAGGAGGAAGCTGAGGCTTTGCGAGGTTAAGAAACTTGCTCGGCCAGACCTGCAGTCGACACCGGCTGTGCTCAGAGTCTCCCACGTGTGAGAGATGGGCCGGAGAACACGCAAGACACTCATCCCGAGTCAAAAGTGAAACTGCAAGACTTTCTCCCCATCCTGATTGTCTGTCTCAGGCCAGGAGAGTGAACTAGTGAGAAAGTCCAGGTTCTTGGGGCACCTGGGTGGCTCAGTCGGTCAGGTGTCTGACTATGGCCTGGGCCATGATCTCCCAGTTTGTGAGTTGGAGCCCTGCGTCGCGCTCTGTGCTGACAGCTCAGAGCCGGGAGCCTGCTTCGGATTCTGTGTCTCCCTCTCTCTCTGCCCCTCCCCTGCTCGCACTCTGTCTCTCCTTTTCAAAAATAAACAAACGTTAAAAAAAAAAGAAAGTCCAGGTCCTTTAATGCTTGAACAACTTCCTCCTGCCATTTTCACTCTGTCACCAGAGCTGTCAGCAGCCTGGGTGGGCCTTACTAATCTCCAAGAGCTTGCCTTCATTTACTGAAGAATGCATGGCACATTCTCCAGGGGCAAACCTCACTGAAATCTAGGTCTCCTGGGCCTCTCTCCTTCATTCGACAATTCCTGACACCTTCGAAACAAAGGCCAAGCCACAGGAGGCTGCCCATAATTCCTAGAAGGAAGGGGAAGGTGTGCTGAAGGGAGAGGCAGAGTTCACGTCCAGATTTCTTTTCCTGGCCAGGTTCAGCCTGGGACCTACCCTGTACCGGTCCAGGGGTCGGCAGCCGCTCCCGGCCAGCCGCATGCCCTCCGAGCTCTCAGGACCGCTGGCCGCCCCGCAACGGGAACGGGGATGATGGGAGAAGAGACAGCTGGGCTGCTAAGTGGCATCGGAGGGGACCTCACACACTGACGACACATGTGGGTGCTAGTGTGCTCACCGCCTGTCTCTGCCATGGGATGCAAGCCCTGTAGGGGCGGGGCCTGGGTCCCTTTTCACTGTCTCCAGCACCTAGGATGTTGTGTTCACACCACAGGTCCTCAGGAAGGACTTGGCGAAAAAACAAATAGGTTGAGGACATGCGAACGAATGAACTTCCTCCCTTGAGAACTTCAGTCACGGGCTGCCTCGTTACATGTTTCCGCTGACCAGCCAGGAGTAAAGCCTCTGCTACTGGCCTTGGTATGAGCTCAGGGCAAGAAAGGGCAGAGAAGGGCAAAACTAGGTAGGGAGAGCATTTTTCTGGGTTCTCTTCTCCAAGCACAGAGCGGCAGAGAGGAGGAGGACACACGTGTAGGAAGGAGACTATTCACAGGTAAATGCAGTGTATCCCCACTTCCACAGGAGTTAGAGCCGGAAGACAAAGCAGAAAAAGACGCAGGGCAGCCAAAGCTCAAACATGAAAACCTGGGCCTTCTTCTCGGATGAAGAGAAGTGTGGGGTCTCAGTGGCGCCGGTGTGGCATCACCAGGCACAGCCCTTGAGGTTTTCAGTAACAAGCGCGCTAACATAACCACGTTTATCGTGCCAAAAAGAGCCCAGTGTTGGTTGCGGTCTCCCTTAGGCCCCGGCCATGGGACTCACTACTTCACAGAGACGCCCCGGAATGTGAACATGACTTACTCTTTGGGTTGCAGGACGGTTTGAATGCCTGTGTATGTGTGCAATCTGTGTTCTACAATGACCATGTGACTCTTTCTTTTATTGAACTGCTATAATTACCTTCTCTATTAAGCCTAAGTCTTCCTGATCACTGTCCTTTGTCGGGCCTGGTTGATCCCCAGAGCTGCATTGAGCTGCCTGCTCTCTGTCCTCTGACAATTCTGCAGGGAGCTGCACTGTTACCAGCCACCAGCAACTTGGGCGGCCCCTCCCAGGACCCTGCATCCCAACCCCCTCCTCCAAATGCTATCCCCCTTTGCAGTGGGGACAGGCCGTGTACGGTCCTCCAGGAGGAGTCCAAGAGCAATTACAAAGTACGTTCCAGAGACCTGCCCCTGAGGGCCTTCCGTCACCTAGTCTCAGTGTCATATGTCCCGTAGTAATCAACAGCACAGCATTTTCAACCACCAGCGGTTTGGCTGGTAAGGACCACAGACTGGCCTATGACCGGCCAGTCTAACGTACCAGGTCAAGTTCAAAGGCTCCGGGCCCAGAGGGGTCCACTGGAGCCTGGGGCCTCTCTGGGGACAGAGCTCACCTTCTGAGACTTGAGCTCCTTGGTGAGCACCAGAACCTGCTGCTCCAAGGCCACCGCTTTTTCCTGGGCGGTTCGGCTTCGTGTGAGGCCTTCGGCAAAGAGTGGGAAGGTGTTGTGCTGGCGCTTGGCTTTCTGAATGAGGTTGGCGGTCAGAGAAGACTTGGGTATAGGCTTTGGAGAATCCGCTGCATCTTTCAAAAGGAGGAACACAGAGGTTATGACTAGTGGCCTCAGTGGTTCTCAAACTCGAGCTTGCTTCAGAAGCCCCTGGAGGTCTGGCTGAAACACAGACTCTGGGACCTACGCCCAGCCTGTTCATCAATAGGCCTGGTCCAGGGATGGAGAATCTGCATTTCTAAGACATTCCTAGAGGATGCTGACACAGTTGCCCGGGGCTCACACATTGAGAGCCATCTGGCTGTATATTTACACTGTACCGGCTGGTCCTTCAGCCCATCCTCTAAAGCGTGCCTGTCTCCTGCTCTGGGATCCCTCGCCTGCGTGGGCGATCTCCTGTGACACTGCTGGTGCAGGCGGCCCTCTCCTTAGGCACAAGCCCTGCCGGGATGTCTTCTTTCTTATTCCAGGATCCCGCTTCTACCCTCTGGGCGATTTCCAAAGTACGCAGAGCTGTTCATAGACAGGACTATGGAGGATCTGTACTCTGCAACCTTGCCCCAGAGAGTAACTCCAACTCTTGTTTGCTTCCTTTTAATTAATTAACTTGAGAGAAAGAGAGAGCATGAGCGGGGGAGGGGCGGGAGAGAGAGGGAGAGAGAGAGAGAGAATCTTTTTTTTTTTTTTAATTTATTTCTGAGAGAGAGAGGCAGCGTGAGCAGGGGAGGGTCAGAGAGAGAGGGAGACACAGAATCTGAAGCAGGCTCCAGGCTCTGAGCTAGTTGTCAGCACAGAGCCTGATGTGGGGCTCTAACCCACGAACTGTGAGATCATGACCTGAGCCGAAATTGGATGCTTAGCCGACTAAGCCTCCCAGGTGCCCCGAGAGAGAATCTTAAGCAGGCTCCACGTTCAGTGTGGAGCCCGACATAGGGCTTGATGCCACGACCCTGAGATCATGACCTGAGCCGAAATCAAGAGTCAGATGCTCAGCTGACTGAGCCACCCAGGCGCCCCTCTTGTTTGATTCTTATTACAAGCTAACTTAGAACACCTGTTTCGCACAGTTGATCACCCCAAGGCTACACAGTTCTTTTATTTTCTCGAGAGCCAGGAGCAGCAACCAATGGCTCACTGGCCAAATCCAGCCCACAGCCTGCTTCTGTAAATAAAGTTTTATTGGAACACAGCCACACTCACTTGTTTGTACCCTATCTGTGCCCTGTTCCCTCCACAAGGGCAGAGTTGAGTGCGGCAATGGAGACCGTACGTTCCACAGTGCCTCCAACATTTACCGCCTGGCTCTCTGCGGAAAACATGTACTGACTTTCTTATTTCGTTTCATTTTTATTTTATTCTTAATTCAAATCCAACATCAGAGTCACTCACCCATTCTGTCTTGTTCTGCCTTGCCTCCAGTCTATCCTTCAGTAAAGGGTCTGCCATCAGCCTGCATCCGGGGATATTTTTTTTAAATGTTTTATTTATTTTTGAAAGAGGGCAAGTGGGGAAAGGGCAGAGAGAGAGGGACAGAGGATCTTAAATAGGCTTCACACTGACAGCAGCGAGCCCGATGCGGGGCTTGAACTCACGAACTGTGAGATCATGACCTGAGCTGAAGTCGGACGTTCCACCCACTGAGCCATCCAGGTGCCCCATGCATCCAGGGACATTTTAATGGCCTGATTATGTGGTCAAGAGACTTTTGAGACTTCTTGTTTGACATGGTATATACATGTCGTGCTTGATATAAGGTCTCAGAAGAAGAAATTCCCTCTGCGTACAGTGCAAGAAAAAGCTTTGCTTTTTCCAAGAAAATATATGTTATGGACACTGGAAATCACCTAACACTTGAATTTCCCTCTTTGCCTTGGCTGCTGAGAAGCTCAGGGGCACGCTGTTGCCCACTCTTTGCTACTTTATAGGATCTTATCTTGATCTCATTTTAATTTCCTAACCCCAATTACTCATTTACTTTCCCCTGGATGTATATTTTAATAAGCTGTCCCCAATCCTCTTGGGACTAGGGTGTTAACTGTAATGATGTGGTATGGGACCCCAGGCGAGGGCTTCGAGGGTGAGCCAAGTCATTCAGCACATTTCTTCTGGGGCCAGTCAAACAATCTTGAACAGAGAAGAAACTGCTCTAGTAGGTAATGGAGGCCAGAAACTCCCTGGCCTTGGTGGGTACAAGAACAGAATGGGCTTGTTCTAGGCTTGAAAGAAATCCAGTTGTGCTGCATAAAAACCAGACCGCAGAGCTCCAAAAAATGCAATGCCTCTTTCTCTTTCCTGCCACGGGGTATAGAAGAGCAGGGGGGCTCCCTGTAGCCCTGGGCCCTCTGATAACACTACTGTCCACTAACCATGAGGATAGGCAAGGTAGGGGTCAGTACGCCCATTCTGCAGTTGGAGAAAACGAGGCCCAGGAGGGTAGTTTTCAATCAGTGCTGTAGGATTTCATTGGAGTGCGGCAGGGCTGACTGGGAGGGAAGGGGTGGGGAGCCGAGGGGAGCCCAGACTCCCACCCCTGCCTCAAGTCTGTTGTGTATATTAGATTTTGTTTCTGGGGGTCAAGGAGTCATGGCGATAGAAATGCAGTTTGAAAAATCAGTGGTTTAGAAAATGAGGCCTCAGGCGGTGGTATGGGGCCAGAGTGCCGGGCCTGAACCCTAGCTCCGCACCCACCGTGCAGCCATGAGCGAGTCGCTTCGCTTTTCCATCCTCAGTTCCGTCATTCAGTAAACGGGAACAACAACGCTATCCAATAAGCGCTCAGGATGTTGGAAGGGTTAAAGGGGTTACTGCAGGTGAGGTGCATAGTGCACACGGAGGAAGCTCGAAAAGATTCTGGTAAGTGACAGGAGCCAGTCAGTCCTGAAGGCCCACATATTGCAGACTCCATTTATACAAACAATCCAGAGCAGGCAAATCTACAGAGACAGAAAGTCGAACGGTGGTTGCCTTGAGCTGGAAGATGCAAGGTTTCCTGTTGGGATAATACGCATGCTCGAAAGTTGATTATGGTGGGGGGCGCCTGGCTGCCTCAGCATGATTTCTGCTTGGGTCATGGTCTCACGGTTCGTGGGTTTGGGCCCAGCTCTGTGCTGACAGTGCGGAGCCTGCCTGGGATTCTCTCTCTCCTCCCCTCTCTCTGTCCCTCCCCACTTGTGCTCTTTCTGTCTCTCTTTCAAAATAAAGAAACTTTAAAAAATAAAATAAAATAGACAATGGTGAACTGTATAGTCCAAATGGGTGAACTGTTTGGTATGTGAATTATCTCTTAATAAAACTGTTACCAAAGGGAAGAGTGAGTAGAGCGGCCCTGGCACAAAGCACGTGCCAGATGTAGGTGCTGGTTTTATTCTTGCTGATCTGATAGAGCACCGATCCCCTCTGGGACTATTCGTTGTGACCCGCGGGGCCTCACCAGACACTGCTCCAAAGGGGAGCTTTCTCTGGAGTCACTGCTCCGCAGTACAGGGGTCCCCCCCCCCCACCTCCAGAAGCCCCCACGGGGCTGCCTCAGCTGCTCTTCTTCCATTTCTAGGTTACAGTATGTCCTGGGGGGGCGGGGAGCACCCATGCTAATTGCAAAAGAAGCCCAATCCCCGTGACGGCACGGGCCACTCACACATTTTGTGAGATAACAGAGTGCTGTGGAAGGGCCAGGATGGATGCTTCTTCAGGCACGGGTCTGATTTTGATCAGCCCACACAGGCGTTTTCATATCATTTGCTTATAAATTAAAAAAAAAAAAGTACTAAAGAAGTGAGAAATATTTTCTTTCATTACTTCAAGAATCACAGCAGGAGCGTCAGTCTGGGAGGATGAGGAAGAGTTCCGGAGCTGGGTGGCGGCGGTGGTTGGCGTGAGTGTGCCCAAAGCTCCTGTGCTATACACTTACAATTGGTTCAAAGGGTAAATTTTATGCATATTTGACCACAATGATATTACTAAAAGAAGGAGTCATCACTACCAGGCCCACAGGAACCAAGAGGAGTGGCCCGATTGACACACAAAAGCGTAAATGCTGGTTTTCGGGGAGGAAAGAGGGCACTCGCTTGGTCTCTGAAGGCACAGCTCAAACCCGGGCAGGGCTCACCTGGGGTGCTGGGGTCAGAGGGTAAAGGCTGCTCTGCCCTCTGAGGTTCCTCACTCAGTGGAGACTCTTCCCCTGGAGGTCCGTGGCCCGTTCCTTGGGCCTGCCTGTTGCCCCGAATATTGTACATCGTGTTTCTGAAAGGAAAACAGAGGAGAATGAGGCTACCATCCTGGGCTCCCCCCGCCCCTCCCCCCTGCCGTCGCCAGAGCCCAGGCTGCGTGCTCAGCCCCAGTCATGCCGCACTCCAGGCCCCCTGCCAGATGCTCCCGCTCCCCACCCGCCTCGCCCCTCTCGTGCGCTCACCGCACTTCCCGCCCTCCACACGTGATGTTGCTCATCAGCAGTAGAAGCTTGATTCCCCCACCCCCAAACCCACTGCCGGAGCCCAAGTTCTATGGAGCGCAGGCATGTTTGCCTTTTCTGTTCACTAAACTATTTTGTGTTTGTGTGTGTGTGTGTGTTTTTAAATGTTTATTTTTGAGAGACAGAGAGAGACAGAGCATGAGTGGGGGAGGGGCAAAGAGAGAGAGACACACACAGAATCTGAAGCAGGCTCTAGGCTCTGAGCTGTCAGCACAGAGCCTAACGCAGGGCTCGAACTCAGGAACCGTGAGATCGTGACCTGAGACAAAGTCAGATGCTCAACCGACTGAGCCACCCTGGTGTCCCATAATATTTTGTTTTTTAAGTTTATTTATTTTTGAGAGAGAGATAAAGACAGAGAGAGAGCACATGCATGCATATGGGTAAGGGAGGGGCAGAGAGAGGGAGAGAGAGAATCCCAAGCCGACTCTGCACTATAAGCACAGAGCCCAATACGGGGCTCAATCCCACCAACTGTGACATCATGACCTGAGCTGAAATCAAGAGTCAGACACTCAATGGTCTGAGACACCCAGGTGCCCCCATTCAAAGACTCTGAATGCCTAGCACAGCGCCTGCAACATCGAGGGCGCTTACAGTCTATGTGCTGAATGCATGCTGAATGGACTTGCTGAATTAACTCTCCTGAAACCTTCATCTTGTTTTGTAACTATTGCTTAAAAATCATCAGTGGCTCCCTACTTCTGTTGAAGAAAGTTCCAAACCCCTCCTGGATCCTTCACTGATTGCTCTCTTTCCCCACGCAGATCTATTCTCCTTGTGACCTTCACTAATCATTTCCTGGTTTCCAAGGAGCTTACTGCTAAATTAAGAACAAAGAAGAAATTAGAATTCAGCATTCCGAATGCTTGACTTTGAAATTTGGTCTTTGATTCTTTTGCTCTGTTGTTGTTGCTGTTGTTGTTGTTATTATTATTATTATTAAGTTTTATTTGTTCATTTTGAGAGAGAGTGAGAGAGAGCATGAGTGGAGGAGGGGCAGAGAGAGAATGAGAGAGAGGATCCCAAGCAGGCTCTGTATCATCAGTCCAGAGCCTGACAAGGGGCTAGAACCCACAAACCGAGAGAGCATGAGCCAAAATCAAGAGCTGGATGCCCAACCGACTGAGGCCCCCAGGCACCCTGTTGTCTGTTGTTATTAAGATTCTATTGTAAGGGGGGCACCTGGGTGGCTCAGTCGGTTAAGCGTCTGACTTTGGCTCAGATCATGATCTCACAGTGCGTGGGTTCGAGCCCTGCATTGGGCTCTGTGCTGACAGCTCAGAGCCTGGAGCCTGTTTCGGATTCTGTGTCTCCCTCTCTCTCTGACCCTCCCCTGCTCACACTGTCTCTCTCTCTCTCTCTCAGAAATAAATAAAACATTAAAAAAAAAAAAAGATTCTATTGTAAGGTATCTCTGACTCCTAGACCTAGTCACCTCCCCTTCCCAGTTCTTACTTTCCTCATCTACAAATAAAAGGGTAGTGGTCATATTAAAAAGAAAATGGTGGTCCTGAGGAGCACTATTTACTGAGTACCGCTTTCTGCTGGGTCCTGTGCCGAGCCCCACTACGTGTATCTCACAAATCACAGCCACACAATTGGAGAGGACTCAGGAACACTTTCCTATGGCCAGAGGCGCTGGCTGGGTGGGTGACCATCATTGCTGCCTACACGTCCCCTTGCCTCCCCTATGTATCCAGGTGCTCAAAGCAGTCATCTCTGGGAGAGAAGAGGGTACAGAAACCCCAACTGCAGGGCAGCAAAGGGCCTTCTAAGCTCTAGCACACATCACCTCTGGAGACAGATGCTCATTAACTACTAACACAGCCCAGATGGCCACTGCCCAGCTGAACTGTTGAACTTGGAAGAGGTATCTCCATTTCATAAATTTATTGACCTTGCACCGAGCAGTTGATAGGTCATTTTCAGTGTGGGATTGGCTCCAGGTCTGAAGGGCCTGGTCGGCTGGGCGGAGTGGCCATAAGACTTGCTCTGGAGGGATAACCTTGGGCAAGCCGTTGATCCTCCCAGAGCCAGGCTTTCCTTATCTGCAGTGGGGATGAGGATCATGTCCACAGCAGACAATGGCTGGACCCTTCCATGGGCCAGGTGCTAAGCTAACACTAGTAATTCAACTTGTTTAATCCTCCCCCCAGCCCAGCAAGGTACTAGTACCACCTCCATTGTACAGAGAGGAGAACTGAGACTCAGCAAGGCTAAGTAACCAAAGCCACAGAGCTCATAAGTGGGGGACTTGAGCATTAGACCTGAATGTCTAACTCCATGGTCTGAGAACTTAGCCATTATGACACCACCTCACAAGCTGGTCCAGACAACTCCGTGCCAGTGCCAAGCACCTAGTACAGTGCTCTGGAAGCACCCATACTCCCTTGCCTGGAGTATGACCCGGGCTCATGGCAGATCCCACAGCAAGCAGTAAGAACAGCCAGGGCCCGGGCCCTGGGAGACAGAAGCAGGCGCGATCTTGCAGGGGCTCGCAGCAGCCCAGGGCAAGTAGCCCATTGCTTGTACTCACATTTTCTGTGGGTTATTACAAATGTCAGGACGGAAGTAACCAACTGATCCTCTGAAACTTCCTTCCCTTCTGTCTCTGCATGTTCTCTCTTCCACTTCTGCTCTTCGTGGCAGTCATTAGGCACAGATCTGGCTTAAGTATGGTGAGTCCCCACTGGGTACACCCTAGCGGGATGGCTGGATTTCTCGGCCCCTCCTCTTCCACAGCAGGCTCTCAGCATACCCAGTTCCCTCCAGCTCCGCCTGAGGGATGCTCCCCTGCAGGGGACCCTCTGTCCACTCATGCCAGGGGGCTCACCTCTCAAATTTCTCTCTCCAGCTCAGATCTCTCTCCTGAGTTTCCAAGTCCTTCCATGCATATGCCTCTCAGGCCACTTCTACCCCCAGCCAGCAGGCCCTAAAGGACACTTATTATCTTTCCCCAAAACCCTGCTTCTCTCCTGGGAGCAGCATCACCACCCCCCTAGTGACTTGAGGGAATTCAAATGCTGAAGCCGAGGGGAAATTCTGTAAATGAGCCACACAGAGTGAGGGGTCTCTAATCCAAGTCCAGGGAACAGTCTAGTCTGCTTCCTAAGAGGTCCCTGTCTGTCTGAAGTCCACAGAGAAAATAAGCACCCCCAACAGGATCAGTATCGGATACAGTTTGAAATCCCAAAAGCTTCCTTCTCTTTGGTTAGATAAATGATAATAGCAGCAAACAATACTTATAAAGTGGTAAGCACAGTTCTAAAGCAATTTGTATGCATTAACCCATTTAACTCCCACACTAATCTTGTAGGGCAGGCACTATTGTATTCACTTTTACTGACAATTTAAGTGAAACACAGAGAAATCAAACAAGCTACCTAATACAGCACAGCCTATGACTGGTGAAGCCAGGATACAAATCCAGGCAGTTAGCCTCTAAAGTTCAGGCCATACCGCTATCTTCTTATAAACTACTTAAATCAGATCCTGCTAGTGGGAAATTGTATATATAATACATGAATAATAAATGAAAAAGTAGCTGAGAAATGATCAACGTACAGTAAATTACACGTTAAAAGTGAATTTATTTAAAAAAATTTTTTTTGATGTTTTTATTTACTTTTGAGAGAGAGATAGAGACAGCGTGAGCAGGGGAGGGTCAGAGAGAGAGGGAGACACAGAATCCGAAGACAGGCCCCAGGCTCTGAGCTAGGTGTCGGCACAGAGTCTGACGCGGGGCTCGAACCCATGAACCATGAGATCATGACCTGAGCCGAAGCCGGACGCTCAACCGACTGAGCCACCCAGGAGCCCCATGTTAAAAAGTGAATTTAAGGGGCGCCCAGGTGGCTTAGTCGGTTGAGCGTCCGACTTTCGCTCGGGTCATGATCTCGCGGTTCGTGGGTTCGAGCCCCGCCTCGGGCTCTGTGCTGACTGCCAGCTCAGAGCCTGGAGCCTGTTTCAGAGTCTGTCACTCCCTCTCTCTCTGACCCTCCTCTGCTCATGCTGTCTCTCTCTCTCCTAGAAATAAATAAATAAAACAAACAAACAAAAAAAAGTGAATTTAAAAAAAAACAAAACAAAAAAACTAAAGGTATCAAATTCCAGACTTCAAGCTTTGTTACAAAGTGGCAATAATTAAAACAGTATGGGTCTGGCACAAAAATAGACACATGTATCAATGGAACAGAATAGAAAACCCAGAAAGAAACCTACAATTTTATGGTTAGTTAATCTTCGACAAAGAATGAATGAATATACAATGGGAAAAAGACAGTCTCTTCAATAAGTAGTGTTGGAAAAATTGGACTGCTACATGCCAAAGAATGAAACTGGACCACTGAATTAAAGACCTAAATGTAAGACCTGAAACCATAAAAGTCCTTGAAAAGAGCACAGGCAGTAATCTCTCTGACACTGGCTGTGGCAACATTTTTTAAGATAGGTCTCCTGAGACAAGGGAAATAAAAGCAAAAATAAACTACTGGGACTATATCAAGACAAAAAGCTTCTGCACAGTGAAGGAAACAATCAACAAAGCTAAAAGAAAACCTATGGAATGGGAGAGGATACTTGCAAATGACATATCCAATAAAGGATTAATATCCAAAACATACAAAGAACAGATACAACTCAATACCCCCAAACCAAATAATCCTATTAAACACGGCAGACGACAGGAACAGACATTTCTCCAAAGAAGACATCCAGAGGGCCAACAGACAAATGGAAAGACGCACCACATTACTCATCATCAGGGAAATGCAAATCAAAATTATAATGAGATATCACCTCACAAACCTGTCAGAATGGCTAAAATAAAAAACGCAAGAAACAAGTGTTGGTGAGGATGTGGAGAAAAGGGAACCCTCTTGTGCTGTTGGTGGGAATGTAAACTGGTACAGCCACTGTGGAGGACAGTATAGAGTCTCCTCAAAAAATTAAAAAGAGAACTACCCTACAATCTAGTAATCACATTACTAGGTGTTTACCCCCAAAATACAAAAACATTAATTCAAAGGGACACATACAGCCCTATGTTTATAGCAGCATTATTTACCATAGCAAAATTATAGAAGCAGCCCAAGTGTCCATTGATAGATGAATGGATAAAGAAGAGGTGGTGTGTGTGTGTGTATATATATATACACACACACACACACACACCACGGAACATTATTCAGACATAAAAAGAATGAAATCTTGCCATTTGCAATAACATGGATGGAGCTATAGAGTATAATGCTAAGTGAAGTAAATCAGTCAGAGAAAGACAAATACCATATGATTTCACTCATGATCAAAGGAAAAAAAAGAGAGCGAGAGAGACAAACTAAGAAACAGACTCTTAACTACAGAAAACAAATTGATGGGTACCAGAGGGGAGAAGTGGGGGTGGGGGGATGGGTGAAATAGGGTATGGAGATTAAAGAGTACACTTACTGAGATGAAAAATAAAATAAAACTTGGGTAAAAAAAATTAAAAAGTAGGTCGCAGGGGTGCCTACGTGGCTCAGTTGGTTAAGTGTGCCACTTTTGATTTCCTCTCAGGTCATGATCTCATGGAGTCGTGGGTTCAAGCCCCACACGAGGTTCTGCATTGGCAGCACAGAGCCTGCTTGGGATTCTCTCTCTCCTTCTCTCTCTGTCCCTCCCCTGCTGTGGACCTGCACACACTCTCTCTCTCAAATTTTTTTTTAAAAAGTAGGTTGTATAAGTCACTCTGGGGAAAAAAAAAGCTAATAATTTGATGTGTTTCACATCTGAAGACACTGTGACACTGTCATCACATTACACTCAGCATGACCTCAGTTATGCATATACATGTACAGAAAACGCAGAGGAAAGAGATATACCACAAGCTAAGAACGCTGTACAGGATCATAGGTAACTGAAAACCTATATCTTTCTAGATTTCTAATTTCCTACAAAGAATATGCACTACTTTCACAATCAGAAGCACACATGTAATATTTTAAAGGGCCGATGTGATGAATTAGAAACAAAGCCCCTCTCCCGCTCTCCGGGCCCACCTCCCTGCGGAGATCACACCAGATCACTGTAAGCTCCAAAGGAGGGGCTGTCTGCAAGGTGGCCGGCCCTCAGTCCCACTGCACTTACTGTATTTCAGTTCCCAGATGCTTGAGAGAAATATTCTGAAGGGCGGAGGGCACGGCAGGTGCCGGCTGCGAGGCGGCTGCCACACCCACGAGCCCGGGGGGTGTTTGCACAGGGCACAGGAACCCGTCCAGCTCCGCTTCCTCTTGCTCTGGGGAAGAGAGACACAGGGCAATCATTCATCGCTGCATCTGGGCATATGAGACAGGGGTGCGCTGGGCTCGGCTCCCACTGGGAGCAGGGGGGAGTCGGTGGGCTGCCTGAGCAAGCCTTCCTTGCAGGTTGAGAGCAGCCAAGGAGGCAGGCTTTTCATTAAATGTTCTCCCAGGGAAATGACGCATCTTACTGAGAACGTCTTCCTGAAAACCTCACTAAAATACGTAGAACTGCTGATACTTCTACATCTGAGGGTCTACCCTAAAAACATTACCTGACATGCAGACAAAGCTTTATGAACCAAGAGGTTTATCCCAGCACCGTCTGGCCTCACACTGGAAATAACTCCCTCAAACTGGAAGTCAAGTTCTGGGGAGGGGTTAAATAAATCATGATACCTTCCGAAAGTGGAATATCAGCCATTTAAATAATAATCAGCCATTTAAAACAACACTAACGAAGAATGCTTAAAACTAAGAGGTACAGGGGCGCCTGGGTGGCTTAGTCGGTTAAGCGTCCGACTTTCACTTGGGTCATGATCTCGAGGTTCATGGGTTCAAGCCCCACGTCGGGCTCTGTGCTGACTGCCAGCTCAGAGCCTGGAGCCTATTTCAGAGTCTGTGTCTCCCTCTCTCTCTGACCCTCCCCTGCTCATGCTGTCTCTCGCTCTCTTTCCTAGAAATAAATAAAAATATTAAAAAAAAAACCTAAGAGGTACAGGTGTGGGATATAAAAACAACTAGTAAAAAACTTGGGTTAGAGCATGGTCTCAATTGCAGAGAAAAAGTCTCACAGAAATACACTGTGGTATGGACAGAGGTCAGAGGTGCATGGTGGGACCAGAAGCAGGCTGCCCTCATTATCGCTTTGTGTTTTTGCCCAAAGTGTCTACACTAAACATGAGTTATTTTTCATAAACAGAAAAATAATGTCTACTCAGCAAAAGTAGAAGTTTATAAGCAGACTTTATCACAAGGAGGCTTTAGGGCCACAGTACGTAGTACCAAAAAGCAAGGTGGGGCATTGGTATTATTATACAATCTGAACTACATTTAAATAAAAGGCAAGCGGGGGGGGGTGTCATAATGTGATATGAACACTGGCTGTCGCTGGGTGACAGGATTACGGCTACTTTTTCTTCCACTTTTCTACTTTTTGTAAATGTTCTGCAATGATTCTTATACAGTGAGTGCTTCAAAACATTTAACGTTAAGGGACATTTCAAGGCTAAGGAAACATTATTTGAGGTAGAAGAGAGAGGAGGTGAAATATTTAGAAGTTAGCTTTGAGCGTCACAAAAAGCAGAGGAGAATCGAGGCCACCTGCTGGGCGGCAGGATCTGGACCAGGCAGCTCCTGCGACACCGAGGGCAGCAGTCGCCTTCCACAGGAGCCTCTTACAGAGAGGCTGGAAATGTAGGCGGAGAGGGAACTTCACTTTTGCATTCCCTTTTCAAACAGGGTGCAGGTGCAAAAGCACTGAATGTAACCGCCAGGGCCGGGGGAGTTGTTCTGTCTCCTCACAGACAGACTTTGTAATCAATATATTTAATTCCTAATAGGCTCGGTCACATCCTGCAGAGGGCTGGGACTTGGCAATGCCAAGTCTTCTTTTGAGCTCCTCTCTTTGATTCACTCTCTCGCCAAACACTTCTGGCATCTGCCCTGAGGTTTCTGGTGGAGCTGGAGAAAGTTAGATAATCAATCTGTAGGAAGCTCCCAGCTTAAGGAGCAGGGAGAAGTGTGCGCTTCAGGTAGACCAAGTGAGCAGAAGCTGGAGGGCAGGCCAGGCGAAGTGCAGGGGAGGTCTGGGAGATGGAGACAGATGGTTTCACTGCAAGTCAGGAAGACTTCCTGGAGGAAGGGCACTGGAGCAGGGCCTGGAGGGCTGGAAAGGATTTTGACCTGCTGAGGGCGTCGGGGAGGATCTTTCTGAGTGCGTAAGTATAGGCAGCAGCGAGGGGTTCCAGATCCAGAGCAGAGGATGCGAGGAGGGAACAGAGGGGTGGGGCTGGGAAGGACAAATGGCCGGGGGTGGGGTGGGGCTAACAGGGGATCTCATCGGGCTGGACCCATGGGAACCCTTGGGGTTTCAGCAAAAGCCCCAAAGAATCTGCATTACAGCTGCGGTGTTGGAAAATCTGAAGCCAATCCATGTTTCTGTTAGAAGGGTGCTGTGACCAGACTGGAAATTGCATTTTCTCTTCTGGCCCCAGGTTCCACATTTTAAAATTAAAAAAAAAAAATTTTTTTTAATGTTTCTTTTTGAGAGAGAGAGAGAGAGAGAGAGAGAGAGAGAGCGAGCGAGCTGGGAAGGGGCAGAGAGAGAGACACACACACAAAATCCAAAGCAGGCTCCAGGCTCTGAGCTGTCAGCACAGAGCCCCACGCGGGGCTCGAACCCATGAACCATGAGATCATGACCTGAGCCAAAGTCACTCAACCAACTGAGCCACCCAGGCGCCCCATGGTTCCACACTTTTAAAATGGGAAGGATACTCTCCATCCTGCTCCTTCAGAGGAAAAGTATATGAAAATATTTAGAAAACCATAAAAGGCCCATTCTGTGGACTTTAATCTTGTAAAAGTAGGCTTTGAGCTGACTCAAAATAATACATTTTTCTTGTTTATCAATACTTTAACCATCTTTATTCTCCCTCATTCATAACAAAAAATGTACAATTTGTCTAAGATTTTTAATGTCTTAGCAAGTACTTCCCTAACTGCCAATATCTGACTTCCTTTAATGTCCATCTTTGGCCCTAAATCTACCCTGAGGCCACATGAACTAAAGCCTTGGGGGTAAATGTCACCCACCAGCTGCATTCGCCAGTGAGGAAACAGTGGCTCAGAAGGATTTTCGTGGCCAGGGTGACACAGCTGGTGGCAGGGCCGTGCACTCAAACACAGCTCCTTGCTTTTCCACTAACGCCACGTGGTTTGTCAGAGCAGGTTGTGTTCAGGCGGAGGGTTCCAAGGTGGGAGGGGCTGCCCGGGAAGGCCCCGTGGGAAGGTTCCCAGTGCGAGGAGGTGTGCGAGAGATGGGTGGTGCGAGACAGGGGTGCCAGAGTGAAGGTTAGCTCTTCCCGTAGGTACAGGATTGGTGACCCGAGGCTCTGGTCTGGGGCCTCTGGGCCCCTCTCCAACCTGGAGAAACACCCTCGGTGAGAAGAAATTCTCAGCGGCGCCTATTTGAATTCTCCCTTTGCCTGAGCTGCAGGGGCCGCTCCATCACCAGTAGGAAGTCACTGCCCAAGCAAAGGGCCTGGGCCAGCAAGTCACTTCCCTGTAGGGCCCTGGACATGGCGGTTGCCTCCTCAGCATAAGGAGGGGGTTAGGAGCCTGCAGATTCAGGTTCAAATTTCAGCGTGGACATTTTCTTGCTCTGCTACCTTGACCAGGTAGGTCTATTGGCCTCTGGGAGCATCAGTTTCCTCTTCAGTAAAATGGGTACAACACTACCTCATAAGATTGATGTTTAGTAAAGTGTTAGAAATTTCTCAGTGTCAGTGGTATGCATATTTTTATGATAATATATACTTACATAAGTGCTATTTTGTGTAAATCATGTCTTACTTTGGCAACATATTATTACCAGTCTGTTGGTTTGCCCTTGATCTTTCTCAGCTCTTATAGAGACCAACATTTGGTTAAACACAAAATAAAGGTGTAAATGCTTAAGAGCTGCAGACAGCACGCCTTGCAGATTGCTCAACAGCAGTAATAGAACACTTTTTACCAGATGGAGTGTCTGTGACTCAAAGGCAGATGTGAGTCTGTTGGTTTTCACTGTCCTGGGAGGAGGCTGTTTCCTCCCAGGAAGGGTGGGGACTGACTGTGGGGCAACCCTGTCCACACAGCAAATCCAGGCCTGCCTGCTCGCTCCCAACTCCAGAAATATCTTTCTCGGGGGCCCAGGGAAGGTTCCGCAGGGGACCGGATCTAGGAGGGCGAAGGCTTTGGGAGAGGCCCACATCCCAGCTTCCTGCATCTCCTGACGGGATCCTCTTTGGGAGACTGGTGCCCTGGTCATTGTGGCAATCGCTCCCCCCCTTCCCCCCCTCCCCCACCGTCCCCAGCAGAGGCTGGCCCTGAAGAGGCTCACTAAATGTGCTCCACCAAAGCCACAGCATTCAAGAACTCAGAAAGGGTTCAGCACAGCAGAAGAACCTATGGGATCCCAAAGCCATTTCAGTTCCAATTTCAGTTCCAGACACACCAGAATTCTGTCATCAGGAGGGTTTCTTGTTGCTTCAGATCTGAGGCTGATCTTGGACAACTGTACCAACTCACGTTGCAGCTTCCCACACGGCCAGGGCTGTCTGGCTCTCCGGCAGAGAGAGGGTGGGTTGCAAGTGCAGAGGCACCAACAACCCTTGCCCAAAGAAAGCTCTTACACGCATGAAACACCCAGAAGGTTCTCAGAAGAAAAGACTGATAATTTCTATTAACAACTGAAAAGAGTAGTTATGTTAAGAGTATAATGTACCCATACACATATAACAGCAAGTTATTAGGATGGCTACCATGTATTGAGCACTTACTGTGGGCCTGGCATTAGTCTAAGGGCTTTATATTCCTTTCCTCATTTAATTATAGAATCCAATGCAATTGCTCACAAATATCCAATGTGCCAGGCGGGCACCTGGCACTGGGACACCAATGAAAAAGACACGGCCCCCACCCGAGGGCAGGGACCGGCAAGGATGTTATAATGAGAACACAGGGTGACAGGCCTTGTTGGAACCACATGAAGAAAGCATCGAGGGCTCATACAGAGTCCAGCTGGCATGGCCCTGGGAGGCTTCAAAGGGGAGGCTGGCAGGAGGGGGAGGCGACTGGAGCGGGGCTATGACAACAAGCAGGGGTTTGCCAGGCAGACACGTGTCTGCTGCTGCCGAAGTGCACACGGTGTGAGGTGAGCATGTAGAGGTGAGCCAAGGGAGGATGGGCCCTGGGCTAAAAGCTGGGCCTGCGTCATGGGTGGGCGGGGCTCCAGCTGTCACTTTAGAAAGCTCACTCGGGCTGCAGTGGGGAGGATGGGTCTGAGTGGCAGACTGGGGCACGGGACACGGGTGAGGAGGCTGCTGTGTTTCTCCAGCCAGGGGCTGCGAGGCCTGAGCCAAGGCACAGCAGCGAGGAGGGGGCGGCCCGGTGCTAGGCCAGAGTGCAGACACCGATGGCACGGCTAGCCGAGACTGCCGAAAGCGGCCCCCCATTACGGAACGATTGGGTAAATAAAGGGCCATTTAACAATGGGAAAGAAACCGGGGGAGCAGATGGCCAAGGGCAGATGAATTCGGTTTGGGACACACAAAACACGTGGGTACAGAGTTCTAGAGGCGCCTGGCCACAAGTCGTGCCCTGGCCTGTTCGGTCTCCCTGTTACCCGAGGATGAGGCATTTTAGACACATGGCAGCTCTGAGCTGAGACAAGGCTCTGAGCTTTTACAGGGCAGCTGGGGGTGGTCTGTCCTGATTCTCTCCCGCGAAGCAGATTGTTGGCTGCAGCGTGGGGGGCGGAGGGTGTGATCTCCAGGACTCCTCCATGCTTGCATGTTCTAGGATTTGGGATCAGGAAACTTCATTTGCAGGCCATGTGGAGGTGAAGGATTCAGCCTCAAGGGAATACTACGGGTAGACTCACTGACCTACCCAACTCACACACAGAAGCATTTGTGTAGGAGGCAGCAACAATAACTGCATTTTCTCATTCCCCTTCTGCACAGCAACCCCATGAGAGTCTCATTTCTTCGGACCTTCCCATGGAGGTCATCAAAACCGTAGCTGATGCTTACTGCGCTCTGACAATGCACAGCGTGCCTCCAACCACTTAAGGAGTATGGACTTGTTTAATTCTCATAATAACCCTAAGAAGTCAGTATAGTTTATTAGGCTTATTTTATATGGAAGGAAAACGAAAGCTCAGAAGGATTAAGCAACTTAGGACCACACAGGATTAGGATTTGAACCCAGCTGTCCTGGCCTCAGGGCGCATATTCTTGCCCTTGACACAACACTGTGTCCTAACGGATCATGAGTCACAACCCTGGCTCTTTGCTTCTTTTTTTTTTTTTTAATTTTTTTTAAATGTTTTATTTATTTCTGAGAGAGAGAGAGACAGTTTGAGTAGGGGACGGTCAGAGAGGGAGGGAGACACAGAATCTGAAACCGGCTCCAGGCTCTGAGCTAGTGGTCAGCACAGAGCCCGACGTGGGGCTCGAACCCATGGACCGTGAGATCATGACCTGAGCCAAAGTTGGACGCTCAACTGACTGAGCCACCCAGGCACCCCTGGCTCTTTGCTTCTTTAGCAGAGGCTCCTCCCACTCACTCCCAACAGGAGGGGAAAGGGTTTGTCACCAAGACCCTGGGTGTGTGGGCAGGAGGCAAACCCATTGGGTACCTAGCTCGAGACGCAGGGCAGGCCCATTCCCAGCCAGGGTGGCATCAGGGACGGCGGGAGGTGCAGGCGGGCTGTTGTGGAGCTCCCAGCGCTTCATCTGCAGCTGCTGCAGCCAATACAGCATCACTTGCTTTGTGGCGGCCTGAGAAGCACAGGGGTTAATTGGTATGGCCCTGTGCCCTCAGCGTGGCACTGGGTGAGGGGTGTGGGAAGGTCATAGGAGCTGGGTGATTCTCTCCCTCCCAGGGGAAAAAAAAACTGTCACTGCAGACGGGTGCCCACCTCTGAAACACCACTTGCTTCTTGGCCACAGGAGATAATCAGGCATCGGTCCCAAACTCGGGGTTCCTTAACCTTTCTGAGTCTCAGTTTTTCCATCTGTGCTATAGTGAGTTTAACACTCATGTCCTGGGGCAGGACAAGGATGAACTAGGGTAAGGGAAGTGAAATGCCCAGCATAGTACCAGACTCATTTGAGGTGCTCAATGCGCTCACTGGACAAAGGAATTTGGAGGGGATAAGAGGGAAAGAACTCTGACATTCTGACCTCAGTGGTGCCCCGGCCCTATCACCATCGCACTGTGCGACATCACAGTGTCTTAACTGACTGTGATACTGTGATTCATAAGAAACATGTATTTGATCATTCAAATGACCCAGATATATTTCTCATATGTATTTGATCTTTGTCCGTGGTTTCTGGCTCAGAGCTCCTAAAGCCCTTGAAACTTCCTGGGATAAGGGTGATAAAGGTGACTTTTATTGTTTCAATATGGTTAACTCTTGGAAAGCCCTTAGGGAACCTAATGAGGAGGGCTGGTTAGGATTAGAGGCTTGGAACTTTCAGTAGGTTTTATACGCCACAGGGAGCCCAACTCGGACCTTGAACTCAGGACCCTGAGATCAAGACCTGAGCTGAGATCAAGAATCGGATGCTTAACACACTGAGTCACCCTGAGGTGCCCCAGGGCTTGGAACTTTCAGTCCCACCCCTACCATCCCAGGAAGGAAGAGGCTGAACCAGAGAATGGCCAGTGAGTTAGTCAATCATGACTATGTAATGACGCCTCCATAAAACCCCACAGGACTGGGTTTGGAAAGCTTTTGAGTCAGTGAACATGGAGATGGGGGGAGAGTGGCATAGCTGGAGAGGGCTTGGAGGCTCCTACCCCTTTCCCACACTTTGCCCAATATACCTCTTCATCTGGCTGTTGATCGGTATCCTTTACCATACCCTTTAATAAACTGGTAAACATAAGTGTTACCCTGGGTGTTCTGGGAGCCACTCTAGCAAAATAATCAAACCTAAGGAGGAGGTCACTGGAAGCTCCAGTTCGTAGCTAGCTGTCAGAAGCACAAGTTAACAGCCTGGGGCTCGTGACTGGCATCTGAAGTGAGGTGTTGGGGAGTCTTGTAGGACTGAGCCCTTAGGCTGTGGAATCTGATGCTGTCTCTGGGTAGACAGTGTTAGAATTAGGTTGAATTCTTGGACATCAGCTGGTGTCTGAGAATTGCTTGGTGTTGTGGGGGGGATCCATGCCCCATGTTTGAATTGGGTCCAGGAACCCTAAAAGACTGACTTTTTATGGAACAGAGAGAATCCATGGGTATGGTTGGGGACTGGAAAGCCATATGCACAAAGTAACAACATAGTGGCACCCTCCAGCTACCTCAAACAAAGTAATGGTTGATACTGGCCATTTGTCTCCCAGCACTGGATGGTCCAAATACCTACTTTCACATCTATTACATTGTTGGATCCTCCAGGAGGGAGGCAGGGCAGGAACGCTCAGCCCTTCCACAGATGGAGAAACAAAGGCTCTGAAGTTGCCCAGGCAGGTGGTGGTGGAGCTGGTCCCAGAACCCAGATCTCCCCCGTTAGACCAGAGCTTTGTTGTAATTTATGGCCAGGGGACTGTGGCTTACATAGAGAAGGGCTGAGATCACATGGGCCGCAGCAGCCGGGCAGCTCACTGGGAGTGGACGGTGAACTTCACAGAGCTGCCCACAGTCAAGGCCAGGTGAGAACACCAACAGGCAGCAGGCTATGGGTAACCAGGGCAAAGCTCCCCCTTCTATGTGGTCCAGATGAGGTGTGCATGAGGCTAGGGGGCTCCATGAGAGAGGCCCTGGGCCTGTCAGGAGGTACCACATGAGATAAAGTAATGCCTACCAGTCTTCCCTTTCTATACACTGTCCCTAAGAGACCTCAGTGCTACCCGGGCTTCACCATGACCCTGTGCTGACAAGCTCCAGCCCATACCCAAATACCTCATTTTCGTAATTCATTGGACAAGTATATATGGAGCACCTACTATTCATGTCATGGCCCCCTCCTCTTAGAACTTAAGAGTCTACCAAGGGGGTGTCCTACGACCTCCCCAGGCTGGGCTCCCCAGGTCGTGACTGGCCCAAGTGAACAGTCAGCCACCCCTCCCTTGCGTTCCTCCTCCCTCACATCCCTACTCACCCCCATGGGTCTCCCTCCTCCCGTCACAGCTCTAGCTCAGCCACCATCCTGTCTCGATCACCTCCAGCTAGACTCCCTGCTCAGCGACCTTGCCTTCTAATTTGTTCTCTGCCCAACAGCCACACTGAGCCTCCTAAACATTCTAATCTCACAGGGCTTTCTTGTTTGATGCTCTTCGACAATCTCCCACAACCCACAGGACAAAGTCCAAGCTGCTGGGCCTAGCTCACAAATGCCCCACGCTTGGGCCTCCATTCTCCCCCTCCATCTTTTGGGTCCCTCCGTACCCTAGGCTCCTGTGATCTGCCTGGACACTCTGGGCTGTGTACTGTTCCCTGTCTTTGCTCATGGGGCTCTATTGGCCAGAAATGCCCTTCATCCTCTCATCTGCTCATAGAAAACCAAATCCCTTTTTCAGGACTCAGAGGTCCTCTCCTCTCTCTGTGCTGCCCTCCTGGATAGACCCTTCCACTCAGGGGAACTGACCCTCCTGTTCACCACACTTTTCTGGCAGAGACCTATCGGAGCGTCTCTACGGAGCATTTCACTGTGGGTGCCACTCCTCCGTCTGTTCTCTCACCAGACCTCAAGCTGTTTGGGAACCAGCGGGCAGGTCTGATTCGGCTCCATACCCCAGCGCTTAGCACAGAGCCAGGCACACACATAGGTCAATGGACGTGTTGGAGACCCTGTAGACAGCAGTTAGCCTGTGGGAGGAGACATGTGACCCATAAACCACATGATCTCTAAAATGCCTGCCTTCCCTGGCCTGGAATTCCTGGTTTGCATTATTTTGTCTGATTTTCCCAGCCCGGTCACCAGCCAGGCCCAGCCATTAAAGGGGAACTGAAACTGTGGGTCTCAATAGATGCCCAGTTGGCTGGAAGGGGGGGAGGGGCGGGAAGACAGGGGGTGTTGGGGGGCTGTCTCCTCACACTCTTCTCTGGGGCGAGTGAATCCCAGAATTCTTAACCCACATCTGTCTTTCCACTTAAGTTCTGGGGCAACTCCTCCTGAAATGAACATTATGGTCTCAGTTTTATCACCATGTGGGTTCATTAAACAAACATTTATGGAGCAGCCACTAGGTGCTCAGCTGTATTCTAGATGCTGGGATTAATTCAACAATTTGTAGGTCCAAGATGCTTACACACCTTGTTTTGAATCTCACAGACTACCTAGATTCTGAAAGATTAAGTAAGTAACGCAGGGTTACACTGCTAGTCAGTAGCTGATGTAAACTTTGAATCCAAGCCTGTCTGATTTCAAAGCATGTGGCCTTTCCACTATTTCAGGCTGTCTCAGTTAAGGGTGATAATAAAACAAAACCTACTAAATGTGAAACACGTTTAGACAAGCCTCTGTGAACATTCTAGGCTGATCAGTGAAACCTAATCATTTTATCTCCTGATCCCTGCCAGTGTTTGCTCAGCATTCACTTCCTTTGGCCAAAATACCAAGAAAAGTCATTCAGAGTCCTGATCTTGAGAGGGCTGCACAGCTCATATCTTTACTATACTTCAGCCCCGAGTAAGAGTTAAGGTAGGTAAGTGCGTTGTTAAGGCACACCAAGAAGTCAAAGTTCTGATACACTACTGAGAGGTAGAAAGACTAAGGATTTCAAGCGTGGGTTACGCCACTCACTAGATGCCTGACCTCTTAAGTAACTGGCTGGTTACTTCATCTCTCCCAGACTGTTTCTTGATTCTAATGCGGGTACATCATCCCAGCCTGTTAGGCGAACCCAGTGAGAAAATGGGTGTAAATGCGTTTTGGAATGCACCAAATCCTGGGCACCCACCGTTCACTGGGGGAGATCAAGGGCTGTGATCCTTGTTCCTGTAAATTTACTGTGACCACCCACACGCGCCAGCCCGTGCTGCGGGAATTCATCCCGGCTGAAAAAGGAAGAAAACTGCCCCATTTACCTTCAGGGTAATAATCCGGCTGGGAGTCTTGATTTCAAAAGTCCCCTCCTCGGCATCTGCCTTGCAGTCAAAGACCGCACTGGAAAGGTCGATGCTGTCCAAGGGATTGGCATCCTGCGCGGTCCGTGAATAATACAGGCGACGTTTCTTCTCGTCGTAGAAAAACCAGCGGGACTTCCAGCCCCGGATGGGCCCTTTGCCGCCAAATTTACTTAAATAACCACAGAGTTTCTTGGGGGCCGCCTCCAGGGAACGAGCGCAGCCCTCCGACTCTTCCGGAGGCAACACCTCGGGGCCCCTGGCAGGCTCTTCGGACCTGAGGACGGAGGAGTTAGACTCTGCGGGGTTCTCCTGGGCGCCCTCCATCTCCACTAAAGACCGTCGAGGGACTGACTGGAGGGCAGCAGCCAACTCTGGCCAAATCCCAGAGTCGCAGCCGGCGCCTTCCAAGAGCGAGAAATCTGGGAGCGGGGCGGGGCCAGTGGTGCCCCGCCCCCAGGAGACCGCAGGAATGCGGACGGCTCGAGTAAATTAATCTTTGACGGCAAACCCAGGTGGGGCGGCTGGCCACGCCCCTCCCAGCCTCTCCGCAGCCAGGCCACGCCCCGACACGCCCTCCGCTGGCTCACCCAATCCCACTTGCTTCCGGCTTTCACGCTCCGCCAGGCAGCCATATTTAGTGAGGGCATCTGCGGGGCGTGAGGAGGCTCCCAGGTTGGAAGCGTGGTGTCACGGAGCTAGGTTAATTGGCGGCAGGGAAGCAGGAAGAGATGCCTATCTCTGACTAGACTGCGGTGGTAACTCGTGTAATAGGGTAGAAGGATGGTCCTTCTTGCGTCTTATGGGCAGTCCGTCTTTACCCCGCAGGTGCCGCGCGAGTTACCGTTGGACGGCGCATTTCGCGGCCATTGGCTGAGAGGGACGCCGGCTCGGTGACGCCACTTCCGGCGCAGCTCACGGAGCTCAAGGTCTAGGGCTCTGACGGCAGGCTTGTGTCCCGTGTTAGTTTAGTGCCCCGGTGACTCCCCGCTGACCTCACCAGTTTACCCCGGGATTGTCTCAACTTCCACTCACCGCCCAACGGCGCTTGTCGCGTTATGTAGGGCCATCAGGCTTGGCTGCTGCTAAATGATGCGAAGATCCTAAATAAAATATTTACAAATCAATTTTAGCATTTTACGAAGAATTATATACTACACCTAGAAGGAGTAATTTTAGGGATACAGGGATATTTTAATAACAAGAAAAAAAATTACATCTGCAGTGCCAAAAATACGAGTATCTTAATATTTTCTCAAAAGGCATTTTTTTCCTGAAGTTTAAATCTATTACTATAGAATTAATGTTTCAAAATTTCTTAATAAAATAAGACAATCTTGTTCTAGATTTTCTAGCTAAATAATGATAGATATTTGAAGGAAAAATTATAATAATTTCAAATATATGCCTTACATTTGAAAAACCATAGAGGTCTTCCCACTAATGCTCCAGGAGTTAATCCAGGGTTCCACATTTGCTCATCATATTTTCTTAGTCTCCTGTGAACTATGACATATTTCAGTTTTTCCTTTTTTTTTTTTATGATTTTACAGTTTTGAAGGGTATTGGTCAGCTATTTTGTAGAATACTGTGAATTTGGGTTTGTCTGGTGTTTTCTTATGATTAGATGGGGGTGATAGGTTTTGGGGAAGACCATGGCAGAGGGGAAGTGCCTCTCTCATCACCTACTATCCAGCTATGTGATATGCACGTGGCGAAGGTAACCTCTGTCTTTGGTTAAGATGGCTTCTGCCAGGCAGAGAAAGACAAATACCATATGAGTGTACGTATAGGAGGATTAGGAGGAACTTAACGGAGGACCAAGGGGGAGAAGAAGGGGGGAAATAGTGGGGGAGAGGGAGAGAGGCAAACCATGAAAGACTCTTGAATGCTGAGAACAAACTGAGGACTGATGGGGGTGGGGGGGGGAGGGGGGAGATGGGCATGGAGGAGGGCACTTGTGGGGATGAGCACTGGGTGTTATATGGAAACCAACTTGACTATTTGTAATAAACTATTTGTAAAAAACTATTTGTAAAAATAAACTATTTGTAAAAAAAAAAAAAAAAAAAAGATGGTTTCTGCCAGAATCCTTGGCTATAACGTTACCATTTTCTCCTTTCAACACTGTTCCTTGGAAGAGAGTCACTGAGTCTCCACCGTAAGAGGCTGCACCTTCTGGGGGTAGGGACGGTTGGTAGCATTTTTATTTTTTATAGCCTATTAGAATGATTCTGAAGTTTATTTCCAAGAGTGAGCAGGTGAGAATAGCCAACATTTTGAAGAAAAAGAGTAATTAGGATTTGGCCCACTAGATACACAAATTTATTGATTCAATCAAAAAGTGTTTAGTGGGCATCTTCTGCCAGGCACCATTTAAAAGAGAAAGCTGCAGTGATGAATGGGACAAGGTCCCAGATCCCACGGGGCTGTCACTTTTGTCCAAGGAGACAGCCCATAGACAGGTAAGCAAGTAACTTACCTGAACATGGTGACTCCAGATTCTCATACTTACTAGGAAGGAAGCAAACAGAATTATAAGAACAACAGAATTTAATGTTTCTGGTACAGGGATGGGCACATCAGTGGAGCAAAGTAAGTTCAGAAAAACATACAAGCAAGTGTAGAAATGTAGTACAGGGAAGGATATTCAACCTCTTTTTTCCTGCTATTATCCCTAAAGGAGCCCTTTCAGAATTTCCCCCCTGATCACCACCTCCTGTAAAATTTTAACACCACAAATATAATATGAATCTCTTCATGTACTGCATGTATATCTGTGCTTTATATATACAAAGAGTAGGATTTTTCTTTTGTACCCCAAGAAGTAATTTTGAACCCCTTGGGGGGTGATTATGTCCCTATTGAGAATGCATATTATTGGAGGATAAGATAAAGTTAGAATTTCGAATCAGTGGGGGACACGATGAGCTATTTATTTAGTAAGTTAGTTTAGGTATTCACCTAATATTGTGTATAAAAATAGTGTTTAAGTAGATTAGAACATAATGCATAAAAACAAAACCATAATATACATACAATGGAGTGTTATTCAGCCTTAAAAAGGGAGAAAATTCTGATACATGAGATAACGTGGATTAACCTTGAAAATATTCTGCTAAGTGAAATAAACAAGACCCCAAAGGGCAAATATTGTATAGTTCTACTTACATGAGGTACTTAGAATAGGAAAATTCATAGAGAAAGAAAGTATTATAGAAATCACTAGGGGCTGGGGGAGGGGAAAAATGAGGAATTATTTTTTAATGGGTACAGAGTTTCTGTTTGGGATGATGAAAAACTTCTAGAAACATAGAGTGATGGTGGTTGCAGAATACTGTGAATGTACTTGATGCCACTGAATTGTACACCTAAAAATAGTTAAATTGGCAAATTTTATTATGTATAATTTTACCACAATAAACATTTTTAAGTGAAACCATAAGTATGTAAAGAAAATAAAGGCAAATATTTATATATCTTGGTCTGAGGGAAGGAAGCCCTTATAAACATAATGTGAAAAACAGCACACAGAAAGCTAAAGATCACTAGACTGTCCATAGAAATATTCCAAATGTGTTTACCAGAAAATATCAGGAGCCACCAGAAAAGACAAGTACAAAGTGAGAAAATTATTTGAAACATTTATAACACATATGATGTAGGGTTAAAATTTGTAAGCTGCACATACAAGTCAATAAGTCAAAGAAGCAATAAAAACAATGCACGAGGGGCACCTGAGTGGCTCAGTCAGTTAAGTGTCTAATTTCGGCTCAGGTCATGATCTCACAATCATGTGAGTTTGAGCCCCGCATCAGATTCTGTGCTGACAGCTCAGAGCCTGGAGCCTGCTTCGGATTCTGTGTCTTCCTCTCTCTCTGCCCCTCTCCCTCTAGTACTCTGTCTCTGTCTCAAAAATAATATTAAAAATTTTTTTAAGTTAAAAAATAATGGATGAGTCAACAATCCACTCACAAAAGAAAAGACTAAATGTGTGCAAAGCAAAACCTTTTAACCACTCCAGTAATTTTGACCTACAGTTAATATTGGTCAGCTTTTTTTTTTTGTATGTAATCTTTGTCCCTTGAATGGGGGGCACATCAGTCTCCTAGAGGAGGGATCAGAGGAGAGTGGCATAAATTGGGACAAGAAACATGGAAAATAACTTGGCAGCTGAGGTCAAAATTCCTGGGACTTTGTGTGTCCTGTGGTTTAAAGTTCTATCTGTAAGAATTTGTCATAAGAAAAAAATCACACATGCTTACAAATATGTTCATCACAGTATTATTTGTTACTTCAAAAATTGGAAGTAGTATAAATGTCCAAAAATCTGAAGTTGGTTAGGTAATTACTTTTTGTAGGAGAATACGGAATGATATGGAAAATATTAGGTAAACAAAGCAGACCACAAAACTATTTTCACAAAACTTAGTATTTGGTAATATAATATATATATGTATATATATATATATATATATGTATATATATTACTCTCTCTCTCTGCCCCTCCCATGATCTCTTTCTCTCTCTTTCAAAATAAATAAATACACTTTTTAAAAATGTACCTGTAAGTACACAATTGTTCCTGTTTTTAAGTTGCTCCAAAGTTGAATATAATTTCTTACCTGAAGAATGGGGTTCATACACACTTCTGGGTGTAAAATAAAGAAGTCACAGGAATGAAAAGTACAGCATGGGGAGTATCATCAGTAGTGTAAAAACTTTGTATGGTGACACATGGTAACTACCCTTATTGTGGAGAGCATTAAAGAGAAAAGTAAAAGAATGGAGATTGTAAACCTTTTCTTCGAACTCCACTCCCATAGGAAACAATCAAAAGAATCACATACAAAAAGAAGATTAAGTAAGGAGCTTTCTAGAGAAAGAAATACATAATATCCAACTCTCCAGAGTTGTAGATTAAGGACACACATTAGAACACTATGACTGTCATGGTCAAGAGTAGGAAGGAGTAATGCAGGTTCCTCAACTTTTCCACATGTTACAGATTGAATTGTGTCTCCTCTAAATTCACATGTTGAAGCCCTAACCACCCCCTCCCCCAGTACCTCAGAATGTGACTATTTTTTAAGATAGGGTACTTAAAGAGGTAATTAAAGTAAAATGAGGTGCCAATCTGATTGCTATCCTTATAAGAAGGGAAGATTATGACACAGAGAGACAGGGAGAAGACCATGTGAAGACAGAGAGATCTCTAGCCATCTACAAGAGAAGAGAGAGGCCTCAGACAAAACCAGCCCTGTCGATGCCTTGATCTTGGATTTCAAGCCTCCAGAATGGTGAGAAAACAAATTTCTGTTTTTAAACGACCCAGTCTATACTTTGTTTGGCAGCCCTAACAAACAAATACACACTCCTAACAACAAAATGAACTTCTTTGTAAGCCCATCTGAGACACAGTCCAAAGTGGCCTAGAGCACCCAGGAAAACTCTGAAGTCTTATTTTATAAA